AAAAAATCAAATTTCAGTCTTTTTTTACATTTTTTTCATTCTTAGGAATGTCTAAATTCAGTTAAACTATCAATTCCGTATTATATTTATAAATCTTTATAACATTATACAAAAATTAGATTTTTCTTAACAACTGAACTTTTGCCGGGAATGGGGCTTTAATTGTTTTACAATTTTTCAATTGGCCTACTATTCTAATCCTTTCATATAAAGAAATGATTGAAATCACGTCACAAGTTCAGGATTCGATGTCGAATTATGAGGCCTTCACCACTGGTAAATAGTTCTCAAAATTTATTTTATAACGTATTATAAAAATATAAAATAATGAAATTTATTATTATATATATTTTTTCCGATAATAATTTAAGCCGCTTATTTAAGTTTCGTTCCTATTCTTCCTCCTTCTTCCTACCATTTCCTTTTTTAAAACATTATTTTTGCATTTATTATCCAACACTTCTAGTAATAATAGGAAAACAAACACCTTACTTTCCCTTTCCAAGTGAGGCCTCAAACCAAACACTTGTATATAGTCACTGTATTGGAAACTAAACAAGGCAGTCTCCTCATAACATGCCCACGCATAGGTCATGGTGACTAGACGGAATAATGATACCTATTTATATTTATGGACATACATATGATATTCCAGACAGACATAGGCCTATATATGCCTATAACATGACATCCCTAATATATCATAAAATCTTAAATAACCAACTTACCCTTTAAAACGCTCTAAAGAGGTACGTCTATCCTCCACGGCTAACTGAAGTGTAATGACTTTGCGGCGACTGGACGTGTTCTCATGTTAGCCTTAAGTTGCAACACTGCTGATTTGGTAGAACTCATTCTTTTACACACCCCTATTCAGGGGAAACCCTTTTAAGGGGATACTTTTCCGTGAAACGAGGGGTAATATAGCTTTAAACACAATGGCCAACCCCTATTATGGGAACACCCCTATTAAGTGGAAGGTGACACTTTCTGAGTGTGCCAAATAGTCAAATCAATACATTTTAACCTTTATCAAGGAGACACTTTTTATTGTATCAAAGCATTCAGTAGTGTAAAACTTCATTAAAATTTATATTATGACACCTTTTGAGCCATAAACTTAATCATCAAACCAGAATTTTTCCTCTCAATATCTAGAATGGACATTGGTATGTAGGCCTAATGTATGTGTTTCTGTACTTCGTATAATACAGTCTTTTAATTTTTCCAATGTTGTATTTTGTGCAATATTGGATTTGTTTCCAGTTATTTAGTATTATGGCCTATTTAGGTTTTTTGTGAAGGGAAGTGAGCAGGATGGGTGATTTTATTGCAAACTGTCGAGTACCTTCACAGCTAAACTCAGATTAGGAATTTAGATTAGGATTATTAATTAGGGTTGTTGTGACGGGAAGTGTAAAGGGCCGTCGAGTACCACACAATTAGTTTCTGATTATTGGTAGACTATATGATTTTTAGTTGAGTGTTTTACCGTTTCCGTTGTTTTAGTCTACATAGCTCCTCGATCGATCGTATCGTTGGTACTCTGATGGGTTGCAACAGGTGACGGACTATAATTATTATACTAGAAATTGCAAGTTGCAAGTGAAATGCTGCGAAGTACAACTGCATATAAATGTTCTTCGAACAAAATTATTTATGCAAGTCAAGTGAAAATAATGACTAATAAAAATATAACAAATAATATGAGACACGACCCATTGTCTATATTAGAACACTTCTCATTAGGTAACAAAGTCGTAATTTTTCATTTTTGTCAAAAAGTGTCTATAGTGGTGAATTATGGTTTAGGTTTTTTTTTAAATAAAGTTTCAAAAATGTCTATGTATGTGGAAAATGTAGTTGATTACCAAAGGTTACAATTTTTATTTTGAAGACTGCATGGTCTGGGAAGTGTACATTTATTTTATGGGGCAAGTTTCCAAGGGCGGGTTTTCTAGGGGCGAGTTGACTGCCAAAGAGTATTGCCAAAGTGCGAGCCAGCGTGTTATTTGATCACAAGTGCGAGACATCGCAAGTGTGAGCCAGCGAGCCATTACGTCACGACAATAGATACGAGACGTTACTCGAGTTGTGCGAGGTATCGGCTGAGATTTGTGGAGTACAATTCAAAAAACAACTATAGGTCTAATAATGTGACGTTAAATAGACAATGTTGGCTATCAAGGAGCGACGTTGTTTTTCATTGGGACCTTCGTCCCTTCAAGGCTAGGGATACCATCCTAGCTAGTCTAGGCCTAGAGTAGGATAAGGCTAGCGTGACATGCGGACGTTGGTACGTGTTGGTTAGTCTAAAAACGTCGCCTAAAGTAATTGAT